TAATGAAAAATAACTTTTGTTTTTTCATTTTTCCTTTGTTTAATTTGTGAATTTAGTGTTTAGTCTTAAATTTGTTGTTTCCTATTTAATAAAATGAATTTCATTTTTATAAACTTTGAATATTGATGTTTTATTGTTTCAATTTTTTTTATTCTGTTAAGTTTTAAGCTCAGTACCAAATATTATTAACAATGAATCTACTTGTTGAGTTATTGTTTTTGCTTTTAAAACATTACAAAATTTTAATTTATGTTTGTTTAAATATTAATTTAAGTTATAATATCCTCTACATTGTCATTGTTTTTCAAAAATTATTAAAGTTCCTTTAATATGTGATTTTTTATGTTTTAATGTATAATTTTTTTATATGTTAATGTTAATTTTTTTTATTTTTTTTTTTGGAAAGGGAACTTCCCTAACGAGGGTTTCCGGGCCAGCTTTCGCGCACTGACTAATCTCCCGCTGCAAACATAAAGCTTTGCCTCATGCCCTGGAGTCACTGCAGGCGAACCTCCATGGCCACAAGGGCTGAGTGGTGCCAGGATTTGAACATGGATCAATAGGTTATCCACCATATCTTCCACATGCCTTAGCAAGTCACCACAACCCAAGTGGTTATTAATGTTAATGTTAATTTTTGTTTTTATTAAATTGCGAATTTAAATATTTTTCATTATTTAGTTATAATATGAGTCTTTTTAACTTCCTATGTGGTTTCTTTTTTGAATTAGATTAGTGTATACTTTTTGAGTTTTTCTATCCTGGTGGTACACGTATAATATCGATTCCAGAGAATATTATTGATGCTAAACCAAAGTGAATATTATTGATGCTAAACCAAAGTTGAAGAGCAAATACCCAAATGTTGATGATGTAATAAACATATATAAGGTTTATGCTGCTAAAACCAGTTATGTGAGAAGTGGGTTTGCAAAGAAAAGAAAGAAAACCGTTTTTCTTACTCAATAATACATTTTATGCAAAAACTAAGAGGTGCATAAAATGTTTATGGATTGACTATGTTAAGTATAAGAATCAATCTAGAAAAGTTAATTGCCTTATTAGAAAGGATGATACACAGATGATAGTTGATAATTATTTAAAATAAAATAAAATAAAATAAAATAAAATAAAATAAAACAACGAAAGAGGAACACATTTATATGTGATAAGAGAAAGTTGGTGTCGCTATTTTGGGTTGTTGAAGCTGAGAAGACCCACTATAAAGAATTTGGGGATACAATTTCCTTTAATGATAAAATTCGCATGAGCAAGTAATTTTTCATATTTTTTTCTTATATTATTAAGTTTATTGTGTTTATATTAATTTTTCTTTTATTTTTCTTAGTAGGTATCATATGGTTTTTGTTCTTTTTACAAGATTCTGATAATCATGGAAAGAGTGAATATTTCTGTTGGTCTTGAGACTCATGAAAGTATAACATCATACGTACGGCTCCCTAAACTTTCTTGAAAACATTTGGTAATTAACCTAGAGTTGTTCTCACTTATGGATATGCAACAATGAAAATTGCAACTAAATCGCAACGTCATCTTTGTATGTGACATATTTTTTTAAACGTCTACTAATGTATAACCTTTTTTATTTGAAATTATTTATTTTGTTTTCATTTTAGTTTGTATATATATATATATATATATATATAGAGAGAGAGAGAGAGAGAGAGAGGTGGGTTCAATTGAGAAAATAAAAAAGGTTGAGAATAAGGGAATCAATCTCAGTCACTCATTTTATTCAAGCATAAAAAGACACGGTGGAAAACTTGTAAATATGAGAACAACCTTTAATATCAAATACGTATCTGTAGTTCAAACACATTCATCGTTTATCATCCAAATTTCTTCTCCAACTTTCAACAATCATCATTTCTTCGATTAAACCATCATCAATCCATTTTTTTTGATCGGGTAAAGTCGTAAAGGGGATACGAAGCAGATGATGGCGAGAGGAAAACGAGAAGCGAATCGATGAACGAACACAGCGGGCTTTGCAGCAACTCTTCATTCACCTCCCGTCATCAGCAGCAAAGGAGACCAAGGTGAAGATTCTCCGGTGCTCATCTTCATCTGATTAAGGGGGAGAAGCACGGAGGTTCGTCGCCCGACTCACAAACCGAGATGGTCTTCGTGGTTTTGACTAGACCAAAGGAGGAGGTGTTTGGTTTTGTTAGGAGATTGTGATCGAAAAGAAGCTAGAAGCGAGGGTTTGGTTTTGTTAGGAGATTGGTCGGACGTCCGATACCTCTCATTTGCTTCCTGCCGGCGAGAAATGAAGAGAGAGGGAGGCGAGGGAAGATGGCATCGGTGTTAGTGGGTCAACGAGCCAAGGCATAAAGGGAAACCGAGGTTCCAATCGACGGAAATAGTCTAGAAGATGGTGGCTTTTGGCTGTGGTAATCGACGGGAAGTGCTGAATGATCTCGATGGGGCAGTTGTTGCTTCAATTGGTATGATCCTCTTCTCGTTTCTTTTATTATGATTGTAAATCAGTTAGGTGGGTGTTTGGGTGATCGATGTTCAACGGGTGAGTAGATGGGGGAAAAGGATTTGATCAGGTTTGGTGTGTTCATCATGAACAGATGGAGAAAAGGGTTTGATTGGAAATCAACGATAACGAAGGGAGTTTGGTTTGTTTCATTTGATAGGAAAGAAAACAGATGACAATGATTTCATGGATGTTTGTTTGCTATTGTTTAATCTTGTTTGGATAGAAATGTATGGTGTGTTTGGTTGGATAATTTGATAGGAAAGTCTGTATGTTATTCATATGTGAATAACATATAAAAATTATATATATATATATATATGTGTGTGTGTGTGTGTGTGTGTGTGTGAAAATACATTATAATATTCATATGTGAATATACTGTGTAATATTCATATGTGAATATATTATGTAATATTCATAAGTGAATATATCATCTAATATTCACAAATGAATATACTATGTAATATCCACATGTGATATATCATGTAATACTCTGTAATATTCAGATATGAAAATATTATCTAGTATTCATAAGTAAATATACCATCTAATATTCACAAGTGAATATACTATGTAATATTTATAAGTGAATGCATCGTCTAATATTTAAATATGAATATACTATGTTTATTATATGCTATATTCATATATGAATGATACTTAAAAAAAAATTAAAAAAATAAAATAAAAATAATCATACTTTTTATTCATAACTGAATAACGAATGTATTATGGTAAAAACCTGATTCATTTTTATTCACTTATAAATAACGATAGCTGAAAATATAAAAAAAATAAATTTTTTATTTTATCTTAAAACTATATCAATATGAATGTCTATTTGTAGAGAATAAAAAATCACGAATTTTGGTATATTTAAAATCATTTTTCGATAAAAATAACTTTTTAAAAATTAAAAAAAAAAAAAAAAAAAAAAAAAAAAAAAAAAAAAAACGAAAAAACTATGTTTTTGTATATATATTAAGGTAATGATTAGCATAGTTTAAGGAAACATGTTTTGTTGGAAAACACATGTCTATTCCTTTCCTATTTCTGCTGGTACGACGGAGGCTTTTGCGGCAAAAATAAATGAGTGGCTGAGAATATTCCCCCATTCTCAACCTTTTTTTTCTCAATTGAACCCTCCTCTCTCTCTCTCTCTCTCTCTCTCTCTATATATATATATATATATATATATATATATATATATATATATATATATATATATATATATATATATATATATATATATATATATATATATATATATATATATATATATAAGCCAAAAGTTTCGTTGGCCAAATGTTTCTCCCTAAACTTTCTTGAAAACATTTGGTAAATAACCTAGAGTTGTTCTCACTTATGAACGTGTAGTAATATTAACCAAAGCCAAACAAGTTTAACATAAGAGGACTGGAATCATGCATGATCGGAATCATGCATAACTAGATATGACTTTCAATCTTGACAGGTATGGCTTTCAAGAATGGATGGCCACATTCATGGGAAGATTTTGAAGGTTTAGCATCTAAAATGACAATTATACCCTTTAAGGTTGTAAAAATCATTCGGCGGTAACTCGGCGGTCGACTGGCGACAAGCGATTAGTCGGACTAGGCGGAGATAAATCGAGGACCCTTAAATTAATAAAATTATTTAAAAAAATAATATTTCATAAAAAAACTGAGTATTTGAAAATTTAAAATTTTAAATTTTTAAAATTTTGAAAATATTTCTTTAATATTTTAAAATTTGAAAGCATAAAAATTTGAAAATTCAAAATTTTGGTGTAATATTTGAAAATTAAATTTTTTTGAATTTTAAAAAAATTCCCGCCTATGACCGCCCAGACCGCCCAGACCGATTTTGACTGATTTTGACCAATTTCCGCCAAGCACCCTAATCGTAATCGGTTTAAGGCCGCCAAGCGATTAATCTGCCGCCAAGGCCGATTTCTGCAACACTGATACCCTTACATTCCAACAAACAATTTACTCAATGTACATCAATTTTAACATAAGAGGATTATGGAAGCAATTAAAAGAAAAGGGAAAATAAAATAGAACATGTAGTAATATTAAAAAAAATCCAAACAAGTTTAACATAAGAGGACTGGAATCATGCATGACCGAAATCATGCATAACTAGTATCCATATACACAAACATTGTAACCACAAGTAATGTATGCATGACTGGAATCTATAAAACAAGGAATCGATATAACCAAAGGGAACATAAACATTGTTAATCATAGAACATCTAGTAATATTAACCAAAGCCAAACAAGTTTTATGGCAAGTTGTGTAAATGCCCAAAAACATGATCAATGGGCCAAAAGCCTATAGTTTATATGGATGTAAACAAAAGGGGCTATCAACAAAGGAGGCTATCATCAGTAGAGGCTTATCAACAAAAAGGGCTATCAACATTTTCCTAAACCCAAAAGTTTTATACATGTTCTTAACAAAAGTAGGGATTAGAAACACCCTAATCTAGACTAAGAGGGTTGGATGAACTCATCTCCTTTCCATTCTTGACAACTACCACCTTTTCCAACTTGATCTCTATTATCCTTTCTGAAGGCTTCCTCCTCCTGACTTGATTCACTTTGCTTCTCTTTGTAGTCCTCCTTATGACTTGATTCAATTGTTGTGTGATAGGTATTTCTCTCTCACTATCCATCCTTTCCTCATTCGTCATTACCTCACCCATCCCTGGCTTATCTATGCTATCCTCCTCATTCATCCTTTCCTCATCTCCAAGTAATTGATTTGTAGGGAGCTCTTCAACTGTTATTTGGCTAGCAATTCCAACATCCTGTAACAAGCATAAAAAAGGCCAGTTAGCAAGATTTAACATCACAAAATGAATATTGAGAAAGAAAGCATACTTGTGACATAGCAACATCCACATCTTCATTTTGTTGTACTTCTGCTTCACTCAATCCAAGACCTTCAATTTGTTGTAATTCTGCTTCACTGAGTCCAAGACAGTCCATGATCTCTTCTGTAGTGTATAAAGATTTCCTTAGGTTGTCAATTGTTAAGCTTATATGATTGTGAAAATCTTGACTTGCATCATTTTCACTCTCAACATTTGGAATGGCAACAAGTTCAGGCTCACATTTAGGAAACTCAGAAGTACCCTCCCCATATTCTGTTTGGACTCCTTCACTAAATCCCCTAACACCACCTCTATTGCCTCTTCCACTAGATCCCCTTCCACTACCTCTACTCCTTCCTCCACCAACCCTTCCACCTGCCCTTCCACCACCTTTAGATCATGTTTTAGTTCCTGATCAATTAAGCAAATCAAGTTCCAACCTAGGCCTGCCCTTTTTTTCTTTGGTTGAGGTTCTAGAACCACTGTAGGATTCTTGCATGATGTTTTATTATGTCCCCTTGGTATACAATTTTTACACTGGATAGTTCTACCCTTGCTTGACACTTGAGAGCACTTGTCTTGATTTTCTGAAACATGTCTTCTTCTTTTAACTCTAGGCCTTCCTGGCATCCTCCTTTCAATTGGTGGAAGGGGCTTAGTGTAACTTGTTTCTTCCCATAAGATACTTCCATTAACTGGGTGTATATTCTGATCATAAGTTGCCTTGTAATTATTCTTGTTGAACCAACTACTTATAAAGTTAGCTGGATCTTGATTGGTGTACAATATTGCCACTTGTGCATGCACACAAGGTATTCTTGAAAGTTCCCATAATCTACAAGCATATATTTTTTTCCTTCAAGTTAAATCCATAGTTCTGAAACCCATTCCTTACTTCATATTCATTCACTCCACTTGGATTTGCATGCCAACTTCTGCAAACATATAAGATAGAACATAAGATGCAAACACATAAGATAGAACATGTAAAAACAAAACAATTGAGAATACTTACTTAATGTCTTCTCCAAATTCTTCCATCTTTGTTACCGCGGAAGGACAAACTTCACCAACCCAGTTTTCAGCCTCTTGTTTTAGATTGAAAGCCCTTTCCATCATGTAAAGCCTAATCTCTTCAAGCATAGTCAGAAAGGTTTCTTTCTTGCGTTTACAATGATTGCATTGAATCACTTAGCAATCCCATTCTCTACAGCCTCACAAGCCAAGCCAGTAGAGAAATAAGCCCTGCACCATGAAGTTGGTTCCCTTGCCATGAGATGATCATAAACAGCAGTACTTATTCCCCTAATCCTTTCCATATTAAACTTGAAATCTCCTTCTGTTGTAGATTTTGCAGCTACCCAAAACATGTTTCTGAACTGCACTCCACTATAAACTTTTCTGAAATTGGCATAGATATGCCTTGCACATTGCCTGTGCTCAACATATGGTAGAATATCCTTACTAGCTTCAACAAGACCCTATAACATGAAAAAAAAAGTTAATTAGCAACACCGTACACTATTGTAGATAATGATAAATAAAGAGATAATTACTTTACCTTGTGTTGGTCACTGATTACACATACACCCTTTCCACCTTGCAATCCAAGATCATCATTAACCAAATCCAGGAACCATTTCCAGTTGTTCTTGTTCTCTGCATCAACAACTGCTCAAGCTATAGGATACACCTGATTATTGGCATCCCTACCTATTGCAATTAACAATTCACCCTTACACTGTCCCTTCAAAAAAGAACCATCCAATCCTATTACCCTACAACATGCCCTTTTCCACCCCTCTCTTATTGCTTTAAAGCAAATGTAGAGTCTATGAAATGTTGTGGTATTATCAGGGTTTACAGTAACTGTAATCCTAACTGTGCTGTCTGGATTGGATCTCAGTAGCTCATGCCCATAATCCCAAACTCTTGCGAAGTGGTCACTCAAATTCCCATGAATTAATGATAGTGCCCTCATCCTTGATCTATAACACTTTGACCATGAAATTTTGCAATGAAATTTACTTTGTATAATTACCTGCATCTCTTTGCATTTTAAATTAGGTTTCCTAATCAACTCTTTCACAAATTTCCTAACTAACCAGGTAGGATCCATAAGCCTTGAATTGTTAAAATTCCTAACACATTTATGAATGTCTATCATCTTTTTGACTTGGAAAGACCTTTCAGTACTCATCCAAGAAGCCCTAACCACAAATGGACACTTCTCTGAATCACTTCCACATATTGCCACTAGTCTAACACTATCACATTTTTTGAAATGGATTTGAAAACCCTTACTAATAGCATAATTGGTCAAACACAATTTCAATTCATGTGGGGATTCATACCTTTCACCAAGAATTGGTCTCATTTTGTTCCATTTCACCTTTGGATTGTGGGTGGAATACTCAAATTCCTCATCACTACCTTCCTCGTTACTACCTTCCAGATTATCTTCATCTGATTCTTCCTTAGTGATTCCAGTTTGAGCTTCGTTTTCAGTTTGAGCATCATTTTCAGTTTGAGCATCATCCACTACCTCGTACTCGTCTTCTTCAAATAGAATATTGAGAAATTCGTCTTTGCATCAGGAAGCTTGTTTCTTTTTGAAGTACGCATCCAGCTCCACATCTATTGTATCAAAATCATGGATGTCATCCATAATTTCAACTGCACGGGGGTAAAAAAAAACCCTAGTTTACTGAGGGGGAGGGAGGAAGTGAAATGAGAGAGGTAAGTTGTATTGTGTATGTATGTGTGTAAATGAGATCGATTAAACCCACGTACGCAAGTCCTTGCCACATAAACCAAATTAACCGGCTAAATGAGGGTTGCCGGGAAAATATGGCCAAAATGTTCGATTTACCCGGTTTCCTGGGTTTTTTTGTTCAAAAAAAAAAATATTAGGACAAAAGTGTAACTTTTCCCAAAAGTTTGGGATTTTTTTGAAGATTTCTCATATATATATATATATATATATATATATATATATATATATATATATATATATATATATATATATATATATATATATATATATATATATATATATATATATATATATATATATATATATATATACACACACACGGCAAGTCCAAAGATCGTTCTAAGGATGACCACGTCTCTTCATGGGTTATATGAGGTGTCGTTTGGATTAAGCTTATTGTGTTCGATAATGCTGAAGCAAATAAACGTGTATATAAAAGTGTGTTCTTACATTACAAGCAATAAATTAAAGACTCATGTCCTACTTTTTTGGTTTCTTTATAAATTAATAGATATAAAAGTAAGAAGAGGGAATAACTTTTAAGAATAAAAAAATATAATTTCATGTTTAAGGTGAGAGTGGAATTGAAAGAACTATTAAATTAAAAGTATAAAACTAAAGGTGGACACGTGTCCTTTTAAAAAGAACACAAGTTTTTCTTAATATATATATATATATATATATATATATATATATATATATATATATATATATATATATATATATATATATATATATATATATACTAGGTGAATGGCTGCGCGTTGAGCAGAAGCATCTATATAATTGAAATCTTAACATGTTTTTTTTAAATATAACAATAATATTAATGTTAAATTTGATATAATAATTTGTATACTAAGGAAATATAATATATTGATTATTTTGAAGAGTAAATTACACGAATGGTCCCTAACTTATTTTTTAACTTGGAAGGTCCCTACTATTTGTTTTTGTTACGCGCTTTGTTCCTATTGTTTGTTTTTGTTACGTGTTTAGTCTCTGTCTTACTTAAAAAGACTATTATTTAAATACGGAAAAATTATGGGGTAAGTAAGATAAGGTGAACGGGTGGGGTTGGGGGTGTGCTTATTTAAATAAATTAGAAAATCAAGGGGAAAAATAGTCTTTTTAGGTAAGATAGATACCAAATGCATAACAAAAACAAATACTATGGACCTTCCGAGTTAAAAAAAAAAAGTAAGTCAGGAACTAAACACGTAAATTACTCTAAACCATAAGGACCATTATTGTAATTTACTTTATTTTGAATAATATGATAATGTATACATCTATTAAAACTGCACAATCTCAATCTTTTGAATGACCTCTACCCGCGGATTACTTATGAATAAAATATAATATAATATTTAGCTTAAAGTTATTTATAGTTGTAGTTATTATTAATTAATTTTTTAAAATTTATTTGTTTAACGTTTTAATTTCTATCAGTTGAATTATTTAAAACATCAAACATTTTTTTTTTGTTTTTTTTATTTTAAAGGTAACAATATAATCATTTATATAGAGTTTGTTTTTAACTATTGTTATTGTAAGTTATTTTAAGCTAATTATTTGAAAACTTTAAACAATTATAAAAATATTTTAGGAAATATTTTAGTTAAATTGATATTACCATTTAGTTTTTGCATTAAGCACTACAATTTATCATTTTTAACTATTCACAAAATATTCTTTGAGTTTTTTAAACGAAACTGAAATTTATATCGAAGTTGACCCTATACTGTTATATTTAAATTAGCAATTTAAGGATTTTGTCCAAACTGTTCAAAAGTTGTAGTTTTAAATTGATAATGGTTTCCATACAACAACATATTAAATCTAATAAATTAAGTATAATATGTTAAAGTTAAAGACATAACTTTATAAGTAGAAGTAAAAATATTATTTTAACATTGAAATTTAGTTTATTTATGATTACACTTTAGGTTTGATACTCATTTAACCTTATTAACCAACTTATAATCATTATTAGAAAGACACTACAATGTATCACTTTTAACTATTTACAAAATATTCTTTAGGTGTTTAAGTTGAACTAAAATTTATATTTAAGTTGATCCTGTAAGGTTATATTTAAATTAATAATTTAAGTATTTTATACAAATTGTTCAAAAGTTGTAGCATTAAAATGATAATAGTTTGCATACAACAACATATTAGACATAATAAATTAAGTATAATATGTTAAAAGTTAAAAACATAACTTTATAAGTAGAAGAGTATATATTCTTTTAATACTGAAATTTAGTTTATATATGATTACACTTTAGATTTTATATATTTAACCTTATTAACCAACTTATAATCATTATTAGAAAGAAATTGAAAAGTCATGGGAGTTTCAAATGAATGTGGTGAAAAGAAAAATGCAAGCTTTATTGAAATTTAGTTTATATATGATTACACTTTAGATTTTATATTTATTTAACCTTATTAACCAACTTATAATCATTATTAGAAAGAAATTGAAAAGTCATGGGAGTTTCAAATGAATGTCGTGAAAGGAAAAATGCAAGCTTTATAAGTATATAATGATAATGATAATGATAATATATATATATATATATATATATATACACCTTAAGTATGTTTGGAAGTTTATAATGACATGGAATTCAAGAAATGATTCGATCAGTTTAATTAGAATTTTAAGATAGGCATTGTTGAGTTTGATGTTGTATACAGAAGTTTTATTGAAGCCTCATCATTTCACACTTTCAAGTCCATGAATAGATAAATATTGCATTTAAGCATCTTATTTCTCTTTTCATACTAAGTAAGAACACTATTAAATAATCAAACTACAAAAAGAGTTAAACATATTCCATAACATTACTAGTATACCAGGACTAACTTTGAGTTTCAATATCCATTTGTACTCTTACCATTCCGAAGATACATACAAACACAAGTGTACCTTTAAATTTAAGGTTGTGACATATGTTTGGGATTGATGATCACATAATCAAACGAATGCGACCCCTGAAATAAAACCTTGAATAACAAGGGATAAATATTTTTTTTAATAATTTTTTAAAAGTCCCCCCCCCCCCCCCCCCCCAAACCTATTGAGAAATAAAGTACTTTATGTTTAAGACTTAGCGAGACAATCATGGGTTAATTGTGTTATTTGTCTTAGTTGTGTTTTTTTTGGGTTTTATAGTGGTCATTAGGTGTTAGTGGTACTAGACATGGAAACAACAACTTGTTATTACCTTGATTCTACAGACCTTTTAAATTCTCAACTAATGCAAATGAAGCTTAAGTAATATAAATTATTACAACATTAAATTATTTTCTTTGATATAGATTTCATTAATTGTTTTTGGAAGGCATCGTCTTT